GGGAGAGGCCCGGCCGCCGCCGCGGAAAGTTGTCGCCCCTCGTCCCCCGCAGTGGCGAGTCGGCGTGCAGACCGCCGCCCCACGGGGACTTCGGCGGACGGTGCGGGCGCCGCTGCGGCTCTCCTCCCGGTTCTGCGTCAGCAGGGCCTCGGTTGGCCGCCGCGCCTGGGAAGAAGCCGGCGTTTCCAGGAGCGGCCCTGCCCCCGCCCGGCCGCCCCGGGAGCCTCGGCGCGCTGCGGCGGGGATTCTGCGCGTGAAGCCACAAGCCCGGGTTGCACCCATCCGCCGCTCCGTTCCCTCCAGGCTGATTAAGCCCTGCGGTCCTTGACCCCTAGGATCTGAAGTTGTATACTTGTAAAACAGAGCGGTAACCGTACTGACCTCAAGGGTAGCTGTGCAGAACAGAACTTTGCAAAGGGTGCTTAGGCTAGATGCGAGTGGTTCCTTCAGTATCTGCTGACGGCTTTTACCCTTTAGCAGAAAAAGCCTTGTAATAAAAGCTGGTTTCTGTGGGGTTTTTTTGGTTTTTTTTTGGTACCAGGAATTAAACTTAGGACCTCATGCTTGCCAGGAAGGCATGCACTGCTGAGCTATATCCCCACTTTTTTTTTTTTGGTGGTACTGGGAATGGAACTCAGGACCTTGCGCTTGCCAAGCAAGGCGCTGTGCCACTAAGCTATATCCCCAGCCCTATATCCTCACTCTAAAAACAGATTTCTTGGAAGAAGTTCAAAAGCCTGTCCAGCTGACCGTGTAGAATGGCCATGGGCCTTGATTTATTGCATTTCTTTTACTTAAATCCTATCTAGCGATGGAGTTCAGCCTGTATAGTGACCTGATACCCTTCAGTCACAACTGGACAATGTTCCAAGTAATTAGATGGGGTTCTGCCCCCTAGTTGAGAGGCCCCTGATTGTATTTGAACACCCAGAGCTCCCTTTGTCTGCCTTCCAAATAGCGTGTCTCTGAGTCCTTAATTTTCAAATTCAGGAGTGGGTTTCGTGAGTCCACAGAGATCCGGAAGTTTAGTAAGATCGACTTGCCTTTTTCCTGTAACCCTAAGGGAGTTTCCTCCCATAACTCTTCATCCCTTTCCAATCTGCTTAGCTGTCCCTAATTAAGCAGTGAAGTTGGTAATCTTAGGATTCTTGGAGAGAAGTGATTAATTTGGATTATTTACACGCACAGGTGTTTCACATATGAACCTGGGGAATTGATGGTCTAGAATGATTTGTATCACATGTGATTTCTAAGTTATGAGGCTGGGGTTATAGACGGGAAGACAGAAGTGGACTTTTTTTTTTTCTTAATTCTTGGAACTGAACCCGGGGCCTTTGCATTAAGATACCTCCCAGCCTTTTAAAAATATTTTTGGGAGATCTTTTCAAATGAGAAGGGGAACGAGAAGGGCAGGGGGAAGGGAAGGTAAAGAAAAGAGATTTAAAATAATTGTTTTGTTGTTGTTGTTGTTTCCCGGTACAGGGTATCGAACTTACGACCTTGCGCTTGCCAGGCAGGCGCTGTGCCCCTGAGGTAAATCCCCAGCCCCAGATTTAAAAAGAATTGAAGAGAAAATGGAAATACAGCATTTTCAAATGGAAAGGGAAACACGAGTGGGTGGGGGCAGGGAGGGGTGGGGGGAGAGGGGACATAAAATTAAGATGTGTTATGTGCATGCTCAAACTCCCATGATAAATTAATCTTTATTGCTGCAATCATGTACTAAATTTTTGAAAATAATATATATATACACATATATATATTGAAGCAGGGTCTCCTTAAGTTGCTGAGTTGCCCATCCTCGGTTTGAACTTTTGATCCTCCTGCCTTAGCCTGCCGGCATGCTAGATTAGAAAAGTGCTATTTAGATCAGAAATACTTCTGAGCTTCCTACCCAAGAGCGGAGAACTGAGCCTAGGGACTTAGAAAAAATTGTCACTGAGTTGGCCAAGTCAGAACCTCAGTTCATTCCTGACCTCTAACGCTCACTCACCTGCCCCACATGGGGCGTGAGCCTCCAGGTGGGCCCCACCCGGCCTGGCAGTAAGGGCCTTGAACTGGCCGCTTCTGTCTGCTGGTCTCCATCATCCTCGACTAGAGTCTAACTGTGATCACCCTGGCATGTTCCAGTGGTGATCTGCAGTTGCCTTGCTTCCGGTCCTGACTCTCATTCCTTTCTTGCCAGTTAGTTTTTCAATTTTCCCATGCAGCTTTTATGAAAGGCTAAATCAAGCCATCCTCCGCTGGAACCCATTAATGATTTCCCTGTTGTCCTGCAGGTAATATTCACACTCCTTAACGTGGCGCAAAGGCCTTTCATGATCTGGCTGCTCCGTCTACCTCCCCAGTCTCATTTCTTGTTGCTCCTCTTCCCTGCACACCCGCTCCAGCCCAGCCTCTCAGCCCCTGCTCCACTGCTCCACCCGCAAGGCTGCTGTGCCCATCGTAGCCCTTCAGCTTTCTAGAGGTTTTCTGTTCTTTGCCCTCCGCCGTGCTGCACATGCGGGTCCCTCTGTCGGGGACGTTCCTTGCACCCGCCCACACCTCCTCCTCCACTCCTAAAGATACATTAGGTTTCGTTTTAGACAGCTTCTTCCAGGTTTCCGGGACACTTGTGTTTACCCCCAGGAAAGCTGTTGTGCTCCTGCGTCAGAACTCCGCACTTACTTGTGTTTCTTCACTGAGATGGTCAGCAGCGCCACTCAGTAGGCACCAATATATAACTGTCAGATGAATGAATGCATGACCCAGTGAATTCCATCGCCCCCTAAGGGGCCCATCAATACAGGTAAAGAACATAAAGACAACTTCCGTTAAGCAAATGTCTCGGATCAAGCTGCCTCCAGTATGTCTTTGTATTTGATGATGGGGTGTGTGCCTAAAAAAATCCAACATGTGTGCAGTGAAAGCTTTTACTGCAGAAGTGCAGGCGCTGAGAGGCTGTGCAGTAGCCCT